TTCTCCATAATTTTCATTACAGTTTTGAAAACATTATACATATTTTTTAAATTTTAGAATAATGTCTTTTGGTTCAAATTTAACTTTTTGAAATCCTTTACAAGTGGTACAATTAGGGCAACCGGTTGCTTAATTTGTATCAGATATTTTCCTACATTGTACTATCCTTTATTACATACATAATATTTTATTTTGGATTAAAATAATCAATCACTAGTTTTAATAGTTTATTAGTAATATTAAAAATAAAACAAGATTTGAACAACAAGAAAACTTAAAACTTAAAAAAATATATAAATTCTGTTAAAATAAAAAAAATAAAACGACCTTCTTTGGTATAAAAAAATGCTGCAATATGTTTAAGAGCAAATATCACATATGTAATTGTCTGAAGCATCTGCACACGATTCATGTACCCATTATTTACATCTTATGCATTGAATCATATCTTATATTAGGCATTCCTTACAAATCTTGCAATACCATTCACTTCTGTTATAATTTACAGATACTAAAATATCTTCATTTGTTGATGATGATGGTTGTTGTAAGTCGTATTGCATTTGAGAATTTTCTTTCTTTTGGCCTCTTTTTTCCGTTCGAAATTGATTTTCCTCTTGCTGGTGTCTGTGACATCCCAACCTCAAAATTTTGTTTAACAGCTCTTTTCTTCTTCTCTTCTACGGCATTTTGTTTTACTTCCAGTTGCTCTTTATAGGGAGTGGATGTAATAATTTCAGCCGTCTCTGCGCTCTTACCCATTTTCTGTTTTTTAGCTTCACTAAGATTAGGTAAAGGAAGAATATCTACAATTGACACATTTAAATTTTGCTCTGTGAACATCTACCAAAACTTGAATTTGTGGTGGCTCTCTAATATTGGAATTTTCTTCTAAAATTTCGATTGGTATCGTCTCAATTGAAATATTTTCTTTATCAGTCAATATTTCTGAAGCAACAAAATCAGCATCAGAAAAAGCATCTCTATTTACAGGCCATATCCCACATTAGCAAAAACCGTTCATAGCACTTACTTTAGCTGCAGCGTTGCCATAAGCTTCATTAAGAGAAGCAACATGAAATTGCGTAACTCCCATTCCAGCATGATGTCTTAACCACTTTTCAATGGCTTAGTTATAGTATGTTTCTAAAGGCTTGGAAACCGAAATATCTAAAGGTTGAAGCCGATGGGTCGTGTGGCCTGGTAATTGTATAATAATTAGAGACCATTGTCACGGGCCAAAACTATAGCATCATAACTTTTAGAATAGGTGGTATGACCGTCCAATACAAAAAAAAAATATTTTCCTTTAATAATTTTTTTTAACCAAGTAACAAATAGCTCAGAGTTACTGTAGCCTGTGTCTGATATCTCCACCAAACAGCCAGGTGGTGCTCCAATGGTCAGTTCTGCTTACATTCGTTTTCTCTTAAATATAATCATTAATGCGACAAATTGACCTGAGGCACTTGCGCAAACAACCATCGTAGTGTTAACACCTCTCTCCCCGCTGGCAATAGTACCAACTTGATGTTTGTCCTTTTTGGCCAAAAATTTTTTATTACTGTTTTGGACTGTCGAGAATCCTGACTCGTCTACATTATATATTTTTGTGGCATCTGATTTATTTTCATCGATGATTTTATCAAGTTTATGAAAGAAGTCTGTTACATTTTTAAGCTAGCAAAAATCGTGAAAGATTCAGCAATAGCAGGAAGTAGCAAATATGGAGAAAAAACACCAGTAAAAAATGACGAATCACGAAAATCGCCGAGAGAGACCATAGCTACAGATAAAATGTTGACAGACAACTTCATGATGGACACTAGTTATGAAGTTCTTAATAGGTCTTTTAAGGAATTGCTTCCTACTCCTGAGCTTTTTGCAACAGCTGACAGGAAAAAATCCCTTAATTATAAAGTGCAAGCGGTAATGAAAGACCTTTTTTCATCCGTTGAACTATTTTAGAATGCCTTAGTTTCTTTTATAAGCTTAATATTTGTGCCTTTTTTTAGTTTATTTTGTTTTAAAAATGTTTTTGAATTTATAAATACACGTGTAAGCGTTATATTTTGTGGGCCTTTTTAAAAAAATCGAATTTTAAGCAAGTGCCCTATTACCCTCTTGGTTGTATAATAAAACCCATTGCAGGCGTTTTAAAAAGGCTAATTATGACACTATAGTTGTATACTGTGTAAATTAAATTCGTATATTTATCCAAATTTTTTGAAATTATAATAATTATATTAAAAAAAATCTGGAACATCTGGTATCTTTTGTCATATGAAATTGAAAATAACAGGTTACAAAGCTATTAACTCTTTGTTGTCAACAAATCTATTGCTTGTCTTCGAAATGATTGCTTGTTACTTATTATAATAATGGTACAACAAAATTGTATGAGCGTCCAAACTCGTTAATCAAATAGAAGTTTACTATCTACTTGACTACAAATAAAATTATGATAATTACTGCAGAGGCGAAATAAGGAGGTTAGCGAAAGAAATACGATAATAATATTTTATATAAATAAAAACTTCACTGGTTTATTGGGTTGTTTTTATTGTTTTTATAAAATTGAAGTACAGGCAAACTTTATAAAATCAGAGATTGAATGTAAATATTAAAAATATTAAAAAAAGTGAGTCTTCATAAAACAATTTTTGACATTAATTTGAAAGCCACTGGCTATTTTCAATATTAAAATGGTTAACTATGAGGGATTTGTTTTATATTTTTAGGTGGGGTATTATTAATTTTTTACCATATAGTTCAGACAAAAATAAAATGATAGAAATAATTGAATTTTACCAATTTTGTATATCCTGATAGATTAATAGTTAGTAATTAATTTAATTCAGAATAAATTAAAGCAAATAATATTCGTTTTTCGTCTCTTTGGTGTGTCGCAGCGGGTGTCTATTTGTCATGTAAAATTGTTGCGTCCTTTTTGTTCTCTATAAGACGATAGAAAACTTGTCAGTCACTACAAATAGAATTCAAAAAATTTGATACATTTTATGGAATCTGGTACTTAAAAAACATTGTGGCATCACTGCACTGATTTACATGACATGGCAGTTCCATATGTAAGATGAATGTTTTAACAAAACAAATCATTAGATAATTATATAAAACATAAAAATGATACAGAAAAGAATCTTAATAGATCCCTATGCATTAAATCATGTATTATGACAGTTATAATAAGTTTAAACATATAAACCAATAATAGTATTTCACAGTGCATATTGTATTTCTTTTAATATTTGAAATAGAAGGAAATTTGTATTTTATAAAAGGTCTTTATCTTGATGAATATTTCAGAATCATTTTATTGGTTTTATATCAGCCACAATGTACATAACATCCTATAATTAGGCATTGTGCTTGCTTTTCATGCTATAAAAGCCTATGTTTTAGCGTCAGGCACAATAAACAAATAAAGGATCTACAGAGATCCACAGGCATTGTTATTCATATTAATCATTAACTAGCCTGTTTTATATACATACTGCATAATAAATACAGGAAAACCATTTATATATCCCCAGGCATTAACTTTTATACGTGATTCAGTTATAAACCAGTAACTAGCTTGTATCACAGTATATCCTCTATTGAACTGACAACAGCGGTAGTGAGAAACCTAATTAAAGAACATTCCCTTGTGAAATTCAAGAAAAGAAGGGATGAAACAAGAAGCTGCCTACTTTTCAGCGAGCTTTTAAGTTATTCTGACAACACTACAGCAAATAAATACTTGACTACGACTATACAGAATCTGTGCCTGATCGTAGGCAATCTTAATGGACATTGCTAACTACGGAAACAACTTCTTATCATGAAGCTGGCAGAATCCGCGCTCTGCAGAGGATGCAAACAAGAAGAAGAGACCCGATGCTCTCATTTATTAAAAGATTTGTGTTCGGCGAGAATTGGCCGATATAAGAGAAGCACCTCTTAGCGACGTTAAATATGTAAGCTGGATCAAGAGCTAGGAGGTGTCTATCTACTTAGGAGGATGCACCTAGTGAGGCCTAAGTGCCGTGGGTTAACCCACCCTCCACACGTTACAGATACAGAATACAAATGTATCACAGTGTATACTGTGTATTTTTTAATGCTAATCGAATTCATATTTAAAACAAAAAACAAACAATTTTGCAATTTATAGAAAGCGTTTACCATTTGTACCGCCATTTTATTTAACATCCATGTGATATTCGGGGTCGTCTTTTCCAACCAGTTTCTTTTTATAATTTTGTTTTTTAAGTTGTAATACTCGGAAGAAGTAGACTCTCCTGTTGTAAAAATGTTCTTCTTTGATGCACCCATTTATGTATTTTTGATACTTAATAACGGAAACAAATTATTTACGAATCCAATTGACACCAGCATCAACACCAATATATCACAAGGATGGCGACTCGTTCAGAAAATTAAGACGGATTTCTGGAAAGCTTGGTCAATGGCGTATCTCTCAAGACTTCAGCAATGATATAAATGGAAAACTCAGAAAGATAATTTAAAAATTGGAGATATCGTCATCATCAAAGAGGACAACATTAACCCAAGTCAATGGCCATTAGCACGAGTAATCCAAACTCATCCCGCACCTGATGAAAGAGTACGTGTAGTAACTCGTAGGAGAGCTACAGGTACAACGTTGAAACGAAATACTCACAATTATGTACCACTGCCCATCGAAAATGAGATAGTTCCTGAGATACCAGTCCCCAACAAAGTTTCTACAAGTACAAATGTTGGACTAACCAGGTGTGTTATAAACCTCACCAATAGATTTCTCGATGGTTTTTCTCAAACAAGTCCAAGTACATCTAGCCTCATGAAAACTTCTGAACAGGGTTCAAAAACACACCAGTTTCAGAGTAATTATTTATTTTATCTATCCCTATGTATTATGGTAGTTTTAGGCATTACATTAAAAGCCGATTCTAAGTATGTTATTCATTAGTCATGCAAGGCTTGACTAAGGAATGTTTAGAATCCAGGTAAACTTTGAAATTGCTAGAGTCGAACAGGACTTCAAAGTCGTGTTAGTATTGGTACAAGAATGTAATGATCTCTGTGACAAAACTAAGGCACTCTCTAATAAAACTCAATTTACTAGTCTAAGCTGTCATCTAATAAAACAAGAAGAGCAGCTCAGTTGGCATAGAAGTAGTTTGCCAAAGAACATCAGGAATCGCATTAAAAGAGGAATCTTGGGTAAATTCCTAACTAGCATATTTGAAGTCAATGACGAAGTTTACCAAGACATCGATGCACTTCTAGAACATCAATCATAAAGGCATCAAGTCATCAAACTAAATTTATGATTTCGACTATCTATCTCCAAAATAAATGAAACTGAAAAAAGAATCGACCATCAACTAGAACGCTTCAGAGTTAGACTTAGTCAAGAGCTAGCTGCAGTTAATGAGATGCAAAGATGGTACAAATCAATAGATATAAATAAACTTAATATTCATCTACTAGGCACCTACCAGGTGGCTTGCAGGTAGTCTGTACGATTTGATATCCCCATCTTATATTAGCCACATCATTGTCGTAGCAGATGACAAACTCCCATCAAATCTACAAATATTACCAACACCGATTTTAAAAATGAAGATGGAAATCAATGAGACCCCCATTCAAAACTTTGCATTCTTACCTATCGTATAATATTGCAAAATTTGCTCTATTGGAAGCAAAACCAACTCTTCTCAAAATACATAAGGGAATCTTCTGGACGTTGGATATTCTAAATGAGATCATAGGAGTGGACTACAATACACAGCTTTACTTCCAATTAACAAACAAGTGAAGAATTTAAAAATTGTATCTTCTTGGAGGCACATCAATATATTTGCTCACCCGTTGTCGTGAAGAACTTTGAAAAAAAATTCAAATTGTAAAATAGACGAGGTTTATGAAAGACCAGACACCACTCAGTGCAGGATCAAAAAACATAGATCTGCTCAAATAATTTGGAAACAGCTTCACATGTCCAATACTTGGCTCTTTTTTACCAGTAAACCAACGCGGCCGTCATATGTCAAGGGATACGAGAAGATGTAAAACTCAATTCGACTGAGATTATTCAGATATCATAGGACTGCATTATAAAAACGAAAGAAAATATGTTATCTCCAAATAAATTGAAAACTGTTCCTGTCCTGGGTAGTTACTCAAAGGCTATAGCTCCTACTATCAACACCACAATAGGATTGCCGTCACATGACACAATCGCAGAAGAAACTGTTTAAACTGACTGATAACTTGAAAGAAGATGCACTTTAAAAAAAATTAAAGAAACAATCTGGAAAAAACTACATCAGTATACGTATCTGTCTAATGGGGTAACTGCAGTGATCATAGGAATCGTAGCCTTGTGTATATGGTTTGGACACCGTGTATACAACAAAAGGAACGAAGGAATCCAACGTCAGTCAAATCAGCATGAAACAATCCAGCCCCTGAGATGAAATGGAGAGACGCCAGAATGTTCAATCAGAATATATCAAAATAACAAAGTTTTGTTATCTTATTTATAATATTATTAAATTTTGTATAATAATAATAGTTGCTTTTTAACAAATTTCGTCTTTTCAACATCCTTATAATCTATAATAAAACTATTAAAAAAAAGTCCCTATTTTTTAATACAAATTATGACATATTGACCATATTTTATGATGTTGACAAATTTTTTTTTAAGTTTATTGACCTTCAACGTTGCCAGCTATACATTATCGATAGAGATTGGACAAATTTTTTAATTTAATTATTAGACAAAATACAAATTAATTACTAACGCCTTCGTAATGAATAATTTATTTCATCGACTAAGAATGATCAGTCTTCATTTTACCTGTCACCGGTCCTGATACCGAGCGAAGGTAAATCGAATTAAATTCTTCGAAAGTTTACTCCGTGAGATGGCGCCAGCGCTATTACGACTTTCGATCGAGGGGGCGAGGGGGAGGTCATAGGAAAAGTTCGTTAACTATCCTCTCGGGAAAGTTTCTTTGATGGAATTTGTTGTGATTTTATTAAAGGCACGAGAGACCGTGTACACTATTATTCGAATTAGAATGATAAAAGTGGGAAAGTTTGGGATTCGCGAATATTAAATGAATAACGATTAGAAGTTTGGTGGGTTGATGTATTTAGTTATAGTCTGTTGGCGCTGTTGTATAGGGTGACAATTTAAATGAAGAGAAACGGAGTGTTTCGTGAAAAAATTAAAATATATTTATTAGCATAACACTTTTGACTTGTGTATGGGTGTACAAGATATACTGACTACGGTTCCTGGTGGTTTCATTTGCCTAGCCATTTTTTTTTTGTTAATTATAATAATTAAATGTTGGCACCATTTATTTTGACTTTATGTAATTTTGTTTGTAATTATATTGTATTAATATGAAAAAAGAATGTTTGTTTGATATGAAGATTTGTTATTTTTACAACACCCTGTAATAGCTAGCTCAGAATTTTTTCATTTTGTTGATTTTGATCCTGGGTTGGGCTTACCTACATGTTTTCTTTTGCTAATTTCGATAAAAGAAGAATGAAAAATTAAGTAAACACTTATCTTACCAATCTTCATATAGATTTCCACATTCCAAATATATTTACCTCCTATATTTTTTCTGATTGGTTTTATTACACTTACTGGAATTTAGAAAATAAAAATATATAAAATATATTAATTTAAATCTATGTTGTGTCTTTCCTCTTGCCTCTTCTTCCTGTCAGCTCAAACTGTTTACTATTTACTTCTATAAGGCAATTCAATCATCAGCTTTCCATCTAGTATATCAAAAATACTCAAATTACGTTTTTCTCTTCTGTTTAATAAGAAAAATTTCCCAACAAATAACTACTTTTACAACTTAATCCTTTCCTTTTCTTTATTAATATCTCCCAATACAATTTTTATTTTCTTCCATCAGTAATGCATCTTACTCGTTGTTGATTACGTCTTAAAAGCTAGGAGGGACAACTGCCCCACCCCTTGCCCCTCTTCAAATAACGCCCATGATATTACTTCCCATTTTCATTACATTTTTCATATTATTTTAATTTTCAAGTTTTTCCGTCAACCTATTTAAATTTATGTATTTTTTTTACTTTCTCTTTAAATTTTGTTTCATATCTTCCTCTATCTTCTTAATTCTTCTCCATTTATTTTTCATTTATCTTCCTTGTGTATTATGTTATCCTGTTTGATTTATCTTTTAATTTATTGTTTTTATCTTGATTCCTTCTTTAATTCTTCAATTTTTGTTTTTACTTTATTTTGTTTACTTATACTTCTATAATTTCAATTTCTATTTCTTCTATTTAATTGCTCAAATTTCTTTCTTCAATTTCTTGTTCGACTATTTCTTTCTTTATTTCATCTTTCAAAAAATCTTGTTTTACATCTAAAATTTATGCATTGTCTTGAAAATTTCTGCTAGTTATTTCTATTCTTAATTCTTCTCTTATTTCTTTTATACTATTTTCTGTTAGCACATTTCATTCTTTTATTTCTTTAACTGCAACTTCCAATTTTTTTCTACCTTCTCTATCTTTCTTTTCATATCCTGTTCAATTATTCTTTTTCAGTCCCTCCATTATCTTTATAATTTCTTCTCTATCTTTTAACCTTCATTGGTTTCTCTCTTCTTTATCATTTCTCTAATTTTAATCCATATTTTGGTCCATTCCATCCGTGCTATCCATTTTGTTGTTTTCATTAATTTTTTGTCCATTCTATCAATTTTCCTGTTTATTGTTTCATTGTTTATCCATATTTTCTTCATCATCAAGGCAAAAATGTCCCTTATATTTTTCTATTTTTCCTTCTTTATTGATTATTCACTATCATTTTTGATTTTTCTTTTTGATTCTTGTTTTTATTTTTTTATTTTTGTTTTTTCAATTTTTTTGTTTTTTATTCTTGTTTTCTTAATGTTTTTAGTTGCTTGTTTGTTTTCGTTTTCGACTTAAAATTCTCAATCACTGCTTACCTGTCAAACCTGTTCATGAGATATATACATTGTAAGTTTTGTAATTCTAATCTTGTTGCTTTAAGCAATTACTTTTGTTTCAGCTTTTGCCAAATCGTTTAGCTATCATATCATATCATATCATATCATATCATATCATATCATATCATATCATATCATATCATATCATATCATATCATATCATATCATATCATATCATATCATATCATATCATATCATATCATATCATATCATATCATATCATATCATATCATATCATATCATATCATATCATATCATATCATATCATATCATATCATATCATATCATATCATATCATATCATATCATATCATATCATATCATATCATATCATATCATATCATATCATATCATATCATATCATATCATATCATATCATATCATATCATATCATATCATATCATATCATATCATATCATATCATATCATATCATATCATATCATATCATATCATATCATATCATATCATATCATATCATATCATATCATATCATATCATATCATATCATATCATATCATATCATATCATATCATATCATATCATATCATATCATATCATATCATATCATATCATATCATATCATATCATATCATATCATATCATATCATATCATATCATATCATATCATATCATATCATATCATATCATATCATATCATATCATATCATATCATATCATATCATATCATATCATATCATATCATATCATATCATATCATATCATATCATATCATATCATATCATATCATATCATATCATATCATATCATATCATATCATATCATATCATATCATATCATATCATATCATATCATATCATATCATATCATATCATATCATATCATATCATATCATATCATATCATATCATATCATATCATATCATATCATATCATATCATATCATATCATATCATATCATATCATATCATATCATATCATATCATATCATATCATATCATATCATATCATATCATATCATATCATATCATATCATATCATATCATATCATATCATATCATATCATATCATATCATATCATATCATATCATATCATATCATATCATATCATATCATATCATATCATATCATATCATATCATATCATATCATATCATATCATATCATATCATATCATATCATATCATATCATATCATATCATATCATATCATATCATATCATATCATATCATATCATATCATATCATATCATATCATATCATATCATATCATATCATATCATATCATATCATATCATATCATATCA